TGAGACTGGTAGGACATGTGTTGATTGTCTGAGACTGGTAGGACATGTGTTGATTGTCTGAGACTGGTAGGACATGTGTTGATTGTCTGAGACTGATAGGACATGTGTTGATTGTCTAAGACGGGTAGGGCATGTGTTGATTGTCTGAGACAGGTAGGACATGTTTTGATTGTCTGAGACCTTCTAGGACATGTGTTCATTGTCTAAGACTGTTTAGGACATGTGTTCATTGTCTAAGACTGTTTAGAAGATGTGTTCATTGTTTGAGACTGTTTAGGACATGTCATTGTTCGAGACTGATAGGACATGTGTTGATTGTCTGAGACGGGTAGGACATGTGTTAATTGTCTGGGAATGTCTACAGCGTGTGTTGATTGTCTGAGACTGGTAGGACATGTGTTGATTGTCTGAGACAGGTAGGATATGTGTTGATTGTCTGGGAATGTCTACAGCGTGTGTTGATTGTCTAAGACAGGTAGGGCATGTGTTGATTGTCTGCGACAGGTTGGACATGTGTTGATTGTCTGAGACCGGTAGGACATGTGTTGATTGTCTGAGACTGGTAGGACATGTGTTGATTGTCTGAGACTGTTTAGGACATGTGTTGATTGTCTAAGACAGGTAGGACATGTTTTGATTGTCTGAGACCTTCTAGGACATGTGTTCATTGTCTGAGACTGTCTACGGCGTGTGTTGATTGTCTTAGACTGGTAGGGCATGTGTTGATTGTCTGAGACTGGTAGGACATGTGTTGATTGTCTGAGACCGGTAGGACATGTGTTGATTGTCTGAGACTGATAGGACATGTGTTGATTGTCTGAGACAGGTAGGACATGTGTTGATTTTCTGAGACCGGTAGGACATGTGTTGATTGTCTGAGACTGATAGGACATGTGTTGATTGTCTGAGACAGGTAGGACATGTGTTGATTGTCTGAGACTGGTAGGACATGTGTTGATTGTCTGAGACCGGTAGGACATGTGTTGATTGTCTGAGACCGGTAGGACATGTGTTGATTGTCTGAGACTGATAGGACATGTGTTGATTGTCTGAGACTGGTAGGACATGTGTTCATTGTCTGAGACTGTTTAGGACATGTGTTGATTGTCTGAGACTGGTAGGACATGTGCTGATTGTCTGAGACTGATAGGACATGTGTTGATTGTCTGAGACAGGTAGGACATGTGTTGATTGTCTAAGACAGGTAGGACATGTGTTGATTATCTGAGACCTTCTAGGACATGTGTTCATTGTCTGAGACTGTTTAGGACATGTGTTGATTGTCTGAGACTGGTAGGACATGTGTTGATTGTCTGAGACTGATAGGACATGTGTTGATTGTCTGAGACAGGTAGGATATGTGTTGATTGTCTAAGACAGGTAGGACATGTTTTGATTGTCTGAGACCTTCTAGGACATGTGTTCATTGTCTGAGACTGTTTAGGACATGTGTTGATTGTCTGAGACTGTTTAGGACATGTGGTCATTGTCTGAGACTGTCTAGGGCGTGTGTTGATTGTCTGAGACTGGTAGGACATGTGTTGATTGTCTGGGACTGTCTAGGGCGTGTGTTGATTGTCTGAGACTGGTAGGACATGTGATGATTGTCTGAGACTGGTAGGACATGTGTTTTTTTTCCAGTTGACATATACCATTATCCGTAAATTAACATTACACTTGGTGGACATTATCGTTTGAGCAGTATTTGTTTTGATACATTTTCTGAGTTTTTATATCAAACATGCAATAAACAGAATGTGATATATACTCTTTGAAAGCCATTGTATCTTAATACGGTAATAGATGTACATTGTTAATCTGAATACAAACGTTTGAAACAAAGAGAGTGTTTGACTTTTTGTGGAGAATTGACTAACCAACGTCTAAACAAACGTGAAATGAATAAAGATTACCATGTTTCTGATGAAAAATTTCATGACATCGTCTAGAAATTTTTCTATATTTTTAGAACTAGCTTAAAACGATACCCATATGTGGACACATTGCTGGACTTCGATTTATATAGATTCTCGTAAAAGAACTACTTCTAAACGCTTGGCACCTGACATGGTACTTAGTCTGTAAGGTAGACACATGACGTGCCGTCGCTAAGCTCCAGCCAATGAGTGAGTACATTACAGGTTAGTGAATAGATTTGATCCATTAGATAGCTTGCTGTGATTGTTATGCACTCTGTAGTTGGTAATCCTTTAGATATTGTCCTCTAATATTAATTAGACTTCAAACTCTACCATTCTTTGTTAAAGATTTTGACATGTTTTTATTCTTCTGTTCAGATGAAAAAATGTTCTAGTTGAAGCATAAGCCTTCAGAGAACTCCAATTACACAAGTTTACCAAGACGTAATGCTCTGTAGGGTTTTAGAGTATACGTATCATTTACTTGTCATTATCATATTTATCATTCTGTACCCGAACAAACACCAAAATCAACACAAGCAGTATCCCATAAGCAACCACGTCAAAGAAATCAGAAAAGCCTCGGAAAGAAGGTAAATATGAATAAAGTAAGGAAACTATCAAGAATATCAAAGAATTTTGAAGAGGAATTATCAACAGAAGCAAAATAGAATCCAAATGCAATTTGGAGATTGATCCGATCGAAATCAAAGCCGAAAGCTAAAATTGGAGATTTATATGCATCACCCGGAAGTAAACATCCCGAGAAAGATGCAAAGACAAGGAAAACAAATCAGTTTTAATTTTAATTTTTCAACTTCATTATAGTAATTTTTAAAACTTTTATTGATACAATTGTGACGAATTATACTGCATCTGCAATTGATGGTAACACAAAGATAAGAACTCTAAATTAACGAGAAAACAGAAATCCTGAGCAGCGACAGAAGAGCGGCAGCGAATCTATACAATGAAACTGTCAGGTAACCTTGCACAATGGATTTTCTTACATGAACGTGAATTACAATTTCATGTCAGGTTCTGATTTAAGGATTAGCGAATATCGGCCATTCTTCATTAACAAACAAACAATAATCTGGCCCTCGCCTTATGAAAACAAAGAAAATCTGAAACAGGGGAAATAACTCTTTGTAAACTAAGTAGTATACAAATGTTTCGATATTTGGAAATTGTAGCACATTGAGTAAAACAATATTGTTCTACTAAGTATTTTGATGATTGAATCAGTAATTTTTTAGGATTAAAATTGATGTTATTGGCGTGATGCCACCAAGATATACAGACCATACAGTCTAAATGTATAATGACGTCCTAAAGCCAATTACTGTAAATACCATAAAAATAGGTAATATAATACCAAAAGTGAAAAACAAATATTATCATGTAGTACTATTTATTACTGCTTTATCGCTGTATAAAAACAGGAGGACAAGGATCAATATATTAATTATTTATAATTTATAGTCAACGGTATGAAATATCTAAAGACAAAACGTATATATCGTAAAAGGTACAACAATGTATAACCAGAAAGTGTTTTATATCGCAAGATAAAAAATAAGGAGATATCATCGTTTTAAATATCATCACAGCTATAACAGTTATGTAACAGCACGGTTTTTTTGGTTTTTTGTTTTTCCTTATTTTGCGAATAATATCATTATCTTTTACATTTTAAGATCTGATGAGAAGTCAACTTAAAAGATTTCCCCCAATCACATTAACATATACTGAATTAAGTAAATGACCATTGTAAATGTTATAATTTAATATGATAGCACCATTCTTTAATTGGTAAGTAAGATATTTATATCTCGATCAATTGAAAAGACTTTATACATAAACTGTAAGGATTCTCTCTAGACATGTGCTTGTTAACCTACAATTACCGACAAAACCCGAGTCTTCTTCCGTGTAGCGATGGCCGTTGCAGATATGGCGGAAAGTAAGATGATTGGGGAAATGAGTGGAAATACTTAATTTAAATTTTAAAATAACTGCTTTGGCATTTATGCAAGTTAGAAGCAAAATGTTTTATCTTCCATTTGATGTATGATTTGTAACCGTCACTCCGTTGTACATCATTGCCTGAATCGCAATCGTTAAAATCCCATTTATCGATATAGATGAAAATCGATCTGACTGATCTCGATCTTTTACTATAACGAAACCAACAATTACAGCTTTCCACTAAGTTGTATGATAAGCGTAATTATACCAATTCCCGAATTTTTCAATGTCTGGATAGCACCATCCCTGCATCCCCAACCTATGGTGTCTATATGTCTCAGTTGTTCGATAGTCACGATTTTCGTGTAAGAAGTGGTCAGCTGGCGGACAAACACAGGGATCAAAAGATGCAGGTTGATGAACGTTTTCGGAAAGTTTTACAGTCGCCATGGTGATCTCATTGAGTTTTATTTCCTTGTGCGATATGATGCTGGACGAGTTTGGTACTCGTTAGTTTGCCTGTTAGTACTGTTGTTGTTTACCTTGTTTTCATTTGAAAACGTGACATTACTTACTTGGATTGACAAAGATTTACTTCCTGAAAAGCTGGTCTTATTCTCCTTGCGCTCTTTTTCAGTAGTCTTTGTGTAAAACTTTCATTAGTTCATATTTTGGCCCAGTTTTATTTTGTTTGAATTATGATTATATTTCCATTTCTGTCGACCCCCACCAAGATACACATAAAACCACAGATAGTCAGAACCCTTCGAACAGCTCATCATGTTAAACCTATTCAAATTCTCGCTAATATCACAGTTTACAATGGTATCGTTAATAGATAGCTGGCCAGTTAATCGAGTGATTTTACTTTAAATGATAACGATAAAGCTGTTACCTACTTACTCAGTATTTCTGGTAGTCATCGGCATAGTAGATTTATATCTAGGTGAAATATTGATAAATAAAACTCGTGTTAAAACTTTCGTATTTATATGTGTTATGTTTGAGTATAGAATTATCGGCCCCGCTTTTCGTTTTAGTTTTTCTTGGTCGCGTGATTCAGGAAAGTGGAACAAAGTTATCGTTGACCTGTTTGTAATGGTAAAGATTTCAATTAGTACAGAGTGTGTCATATTCGTCTGAGTGATGGTCTGTCACTAGTGGTAAAACAGGCACATTAGATATGTTTTCTTGTGTATTGTCCGTATGTAGTGGTGTTATCTCTGTATGTAGATAATGTTTCTCATCTAAAAACTTCGAGGTTTCTTCTACTTCCAAGTGAACAGCATCAGGGTAATATATCTTTCGGAACACCTCTGCGGCTATCCCAAATACAGCTGCCAAAAGTATACAGCATCCTTAAAAAGGAATCAATATTTTTTCATAAATGTTGTTGCGTTCTAGATAATGTTGATTAATGGGCAAAACAAAAATAACTGCTATCAAAAGTGGGTTGGAATCAAGTCCGAATTTCCTTGACTGATATCATATTGAACCAATTGGGCCGTTAAAATAAACTTTCGATTAATATTTTTTTTATTAAACTCAACATACTGAATTTTTTAACCTCTTTTCAGTTGGTATGAACAGGCGCTATCTGTGTTTTTATCGATTTTCTTAAAAATATATTAATAGGTTAAATCGTGTAATGATTTGTAGTGGTGTTAACTAAACTGGATAGTGCACATACAGCGTATATTTACCTGCTAAAGTGAAGGATGTTTCATAAGTACCACCGCCATCCACTATAAAACCTTTGAAAGAGAAAGCCACATCAGTATATTTCAATATTAATCGCGTTTACTGTAATATGTAGATATTTAATAATGTATCAGTTTCAGATCACTTTGGTCTCCGTGCAACATCTTATTCGTGTTTGTTTTGCCCTATGTAACACGATTTGAGTTTGATTTTTTTTTTTTTTTTTGGGGGGGGGGGGTATTGTAATTGTTATATCAGTTGGTTACATTAACATGTTGACATGAGGAAGGCTTTTCATCAAATATGATACCATAAAAATAAATAATATCCTGACACTAGATTTCAAAACGACATATAATAAACAGTTCAAGTAGTGTTAATGTTTTGGTTTAAAAAATCAACCTCGTGGTTGTTATGATACCATTGTATTCTTGTTACTATATTTAATGAGAAAACATATCCTCATTTTAATCAATATGATGATTCAGTAACTATTCGTCCTTTATCCATTAGAAAGTTGTGCTATCAAACCTACCTGCAATAGGCGGCCCAACAAGTGTACCCAAACCGGTAAAGATCATTGCTATTCCAAATGCTGAGACAAGAAACTCAATTCCAATGATATCCGCCGTAATTGTACTCAGCAACACGTAGCAACTTCCTGAATACGTCCCCAAAATGACTGAGTAAATTAGCTGTCCAATATACGTACTCCCAAATACAGGAAATATAATTGTAGAAATCCCTAACACACCAAATGTACCAAAATATAACAATATGGTGGAAACATTATCGGCGTTCCCTGCCATTCCAACTAGCAAACGTGACACGCAGTTCATTATTCCACTAGCGGAAAGCAAGATGGAAGCCTGAGTGTCGGTGGATCCATGGGAGATGGCAAATGTTGGAATATGGACATACATCATATATATCCCAATGTGACTGACTAGCTGACTTAAACATATGCAGACAAAGGGCAGATTCCTTAGGACGGCAATAATACTACAAAAGTGCTGCCTATTCGTCAGACTGTGAAGTGATAATGATAATGTTGATTTTGTCAGTTTTTCTGGTGCGTTTTTATTAACTTCTAAGTATGACGGAAAGCAAAGCGATCCGAACACGGATATATTTAGAGCCATGCCAGCTAATAGGATGAAAAAACCAGAGTCGCCATATTCTTTCCGCGCAAGCTGCATCAGGGGAGGAAATATGAAAGCTCCTGCACCGGCTCCACATGAGGCAAATCCTGTCGCTACGCTTCTCTTCTTCTGAAAGTTTAGGCCGACAACCACAATTCCGCTGGTGAACACAATTCCTGAGCCTAAGCCTGTTGAACAGAACACAAATAAAGAGAGAAAACGTTGGTTTCCATGGAGATCTATATTATTTTGTCTTATATATATATCAAGATTTCCTGTTACTTAAAGATTATTGTCTTTGCGGATAACGATAAAAAACAACATAGAAAAAATGCCGACATATAATCAGAATTCAAACTCATATTCAATTACGGAGACTCCGGTCTAAGTACAAAGAAGAGTGAATATTTCCTGATTCATCGATGACAACACCCATGCATATCTTGGTCGATCGAAGTATGTAACGTTACGTTTCTAAACGAGGACTCGGTAATCAATGAAAGATCAAACAGGTATACTATCTAGCATCAAAAACGTCCGGGCTCATATTGCATAGGGGAATAAGAAATTTTAGTGTAGGATCATTATGTGTTGTGAGTTCGTCTGTCAGTGGTTTACACAAAAGTGGAGAAACTGAGAAACTTGATTTACAGAAAAAGTTTTCAGCAACTGAATATAGACATTTTTTCACATATGTGTACATATATCCCAAATGTTCTCTTACTGAATGTAACACGCTTGATATCAGTTTGAAATATATCGCATGCATGTCAACTCTCCGATGTGTTTTACACAAGGGATAAAGTAAACTGGAACTGACGCTTCAGTTGTTTAGGCAGGAAACATGACGACTTATCAGACATGAGATACGGGTTGATGAAGATTGATGTTCTCTGAGTGTGCCTAACGGTTCTGTTGTTTACTTTATTCTAATATGGGAACGAGACGTTACTTCCTTATATAGAACAATATATACACGGTAGGTGTCAATGTTGAAGCGGAGGACGCTTACTCTTCCGAAACGAATTATTCTTCTTGTATTTTCTTTCAATAGCCTCCGTGTAATTCATTCTTTCCTTCTTATTTTAACCTGGTTTCATCGAATTGGAGTTTGAATTAAGATTCTGTTGACATGGCATTTTTACACAGAAATTTACGAAGTAAAGCATTTATGATATGTAAAAAATACCATCATATCTTAAATGTTTTCTACTCGATAATCCTATTATAGTAATTTTATAATATGCATTATCAATGTTTGGAGCGTAAGTTACGTTACATAAACCAAGAAGATATTTGTTAATTTTAAAACAATTTCATGTTACTTAATTGATACTGCATAACAAAGTATTTTAAATGAAACAATTGAAACCAGTGAACTAATTCTTTCTTACGGAAGAAGTGAGCGACATCTAGCTGATTTTCAATCTGACGTCAGAGGAATGAAAAAAACACAGCTACACGCAACATAAAGGAATAAGGATTTCATATCGTAGTCTATTTGAACAAGACTGATAATTAATTATTGTAACAAGGAGTAATCAAAAAGATTCTAAAAAAACACACAATCGGATTTAAAAAGTCGCTGACATGCTAATGTTATATAATTCAGTTATTGTTGACCGATGTGTTACCTGCTGTGAAACCGTATGAAATGATGATAATTTCCAATGATTCTGCAAATGAGCTTGCCAGAAGCCCTGAAGTCATGATGACCGAACCCACTATGAAAGCCACCCGACAGCTGAAATGGCTTATCATCACACTGCCAACCACACCTGGAATATGAACGTGATTTGATACAAGCAGTATCTAATTGTAATGTGTGAAACGTATTTCTTTCTGTGTTTAATTAATTTTATACTTGATATGCAACAGATTTCATTTTGAGGTGCGGTACCCAAAAAATTAAATATATTTCGTAATTTTCATATACCCGATAATCAGAACAACATCAAGTACATGTGTACATTTTGAACCCTGCCACTATTCGAATGATTTGAAACGTGACATATTTTATTAAATATGTAAGTAAAAGTAGACTTAATCACATAACTATGTATTTTTGAAATACCTGTATGCTACCATGGAGGATTTCTCATTATTGTTTTAACAGGCCAGCCTGGCAATAAAGACTTAATTCATGTAATAAAACATTCTAATAATTTGCCTTTCAGCTTCATTTGGTCTATTTTCAAATATCAGCAAAGTTGAAGATAAACAAGCATGGCCCACTTATTTACAGTTTTACCATAAATATATTCATGTTTATAAATCATGTGCAGTAAACCTAGGACCTAACAGACACACGAAGATTAATTCATTATAAAGGTGGGCTGAAGGTATGCTCTCCATTAGTAGGGTAAAGGGTAATTTTGACGTATTAAATGTAACGTATGTAATCTCATCTACATTTGTATTAAAAAGCACTTTTCACCTGTATTTATGTCTTTTTTATTCGAAATTGCAGGTGGAGGACACCGCTGGAAGACTATTAGGCCCCGAATATACACATGTAACTTACGTTCGTCTCAAATATCAGGTATATATAATTTACGAAATTCACTTAATCTTTGGGCTAGTGTAACTCTCCATCTAGATTTTGACATTATTTCGATTACTTTGGATTTTTCTCAGTAGCCTCCAAGACATCACTAATCAAGTCCTAAAAGGATAATACAGTGGTATCATGCAATTTAATGTATTGCTTGATTCTACTGCAGTTTGTCTAAATTTGTATTGTACATTTACTTACATGCATTAAGTATAACCTAAGGTAAAAAGTGTACATTGTAATAATTCATGAGACTGTGGAACTAATTTGTCCATATTAACTGTCCATCGCTGACGTCATCGACACAAAACAATATAAATGTCTATCATAATTGGTGTTAGACGATATTCACGTTTCAACACTTGACACAAACTACCACAGATGTTAACGTTTGATATACAATTGATAGTGTTACTATAACTACCACAGATGTTCACGTTTGATATATAACTGATAGTGTTACTATAACTACCACAGATGTTAACGTTTGATATACAATTGATAGTGTTACTATAACTACCACAGATGTTAACGTTTGATATACAATTGATAGTGTTACTATAACTACCACAGATGTTCACGTTTGATATATAACTGATAGTGTTACTATAACTACCACAGATGTTAACGTTTGATATATAACTGATAGTGTTACTATAACTACCACAGATGTTAACGTTTGATATATAACTGATAGTGTTACTATAACTACCACAGATGTTAACGTTTGATATATAACTGATAGTGTTACTATAACTACCACAGATGTTAACGTTTGATATATAATTGATAGTGTTACTATAACTACCACAGATAACGTTTTATACAGAAATGGTAGTGTCCCTATAACTACCACAGATGTCACCGTTTTATACAAAAATGATAGTGTTCCTATAACTACCACAGATGTCACCATTTTATACAGAAATAATAGTGTTTCTTTCACTACTACAGATGTCAACATATATAGAAATGGTAGTGTTTCTATAACTACCACAGATGTCACCATTTTATTCAGAAATGATAGTGTTCCTATAACTACCACAGATGTCACCGTTTTATACACAAATTATAGTGTTCCTATAACTACCACAGATGTCACCATTTTATACACAAATAATAGTGTTACTATAACTACCACAGATGTCACCGTTTTATACACAAATTATAGTGTTCCTATAACTACCACAGATGCCACCATTTTATACAGAAATGATAGTGTCACTATAACTACCACAGATGTCACCGTTTTATACGGAAATGATAGTGTTACTATAACTACCACAGATGTCACCGTTTTATACGGAAATGATAGTGTTACTATAACTACCACAGATGTCACCGTTTTATACACAAATTATAGTGTTCCTATAACTACCACAGATGTCACCATTTTATACAGAAATTATAGTGTTACTATACCTACCACAGATGTCACCGTTTTATACAGAAATAGTAGTGTTCCTATCACTACCACTCCCCTATAGAAATACCGATATTAGAAAAACCAGTTTCGAAAAACCAAATATTTTGGCAGAACAGCTTTAAAAAGCAAGTAGATTTTATAATTGTAGTCAAGAATGTATAGACAATAAAACAAAAACCGTCGATAGTAATAAAAAATCACTGTTGGGAAAGAAGACACTAACCTAAATTGCCCGTTTTCCAAGAAAGCACTAAAATAAAAAATATATATTACTGGGCATAGCTGCTTTATCTTATACAATTTTGAAACATTGTCCGGACAAAACCACTTTTTAACACAAGTTGGAAATCAGGCTTCTATTCAGAGTCCCGGAATAATGCTATTGTTATTCCAATACACAAAAGTGGTAAGGATAAAGAAGACACAGCCTCCTAAAGACCAATAGCTGTAACCTCCTATCTATGTAAGACATTCAAAACAACCATAAACAACAGGCTCAAACACCACCTAGAAATACACAATACAATAAGTGAAAACCAAAGCGGTTTCAGAAACAACAGATCAACATTTGACTCACAAGTTAGACTCACGTTAGAGATTTTAAAAAATTGCTAAGCAAAAATCATCACGCTATTTTAGACCTAGAAAAAAACTTACCATCTAGTCTGGCGCGAAGATATTTTGATATCACCAAAAGAAAATAGTATTACATGGAACATACTAAGATTTATTTCCGATTTTTTTTTAAGATCGGAAAATTCAGGTATGGGTAAACATCTCTTGCTCTGAAGAGAAACCTCTACATAATGGTATCCCTCAGGGTAGTGTTATCTCCCCTACTTAGCTTAATATCTTTATAAATAGACTTAATAAATATCTTAAACAATATTCATATACCAACAAATTAAAAAAAAAACTATATCTAGTTAACAAACAAGAGAACGTTAACAAAGTGAAATATTCTTGGCATGATCAAAAATAAAATATGGTTGTTGAGTATACTATTCGGCTTCCGATAATGTACTCAAGGAGCTAGACTTAATACAGCACCGGGATTTAAGAATAGCTCTTGGAGCTATCAAAATCACACCGTCAATTAGTTTACTAGCAGAGTCGGGCGCATTGCCATTAAAATTCGACTAGAGAAACTAATTCTGAAATATTGGGCTAGGACAGAAACTTAAGGATCAAATTTCACTCCCAATAAACTAGTTGAAAATGCTAGGAAAACTGCATATAGGGATAAAATTTGATAACACAGCAGCCAGTATACGATCACGATTTTTTTAATTTATCAAAAGCTTTCAGACTGGACAAAATTAAAATACATGAACAATCAAGCATTCCGATTGAGCCATGGCTTTTACCTAAACCAGAAATTAATTATGAAAATCTCCACACAACCAACAAAAAACTGAATCCAACAGAGTCCAAAGTAGTATCCATGGCAATCATTGATGTCAGATATAGCTGTTCTGTTAAATATTATACTGACGGTTTAAAGAACTAATGATATAGAAGGCCTGGGATGCTTTCCTTTGACGACAACACAAACATCAAAGTAAAGATTTCAGACAATTGCTCTGTTTACTCCAGTGAGTTGATAGCTGTAGACTTAGCATTATGGCTAATTGACCAAACAAAACCAGACAGGGCTTCTATTTTATCTGATAGACTTTCGGACTTAAAATTGGTAGGAACCCGAAACAGTTTGTGGCCCGTCACATTAATTCAATTTTATGCTCGTAACACTTCTTAGAAAACTAGGAGATCACTGAAAAGTTATCAAACGTTCCAGCTTATGTAAATATACCCAGTAACGAAATAGCAGTCAAATTAGGAAGGAGAACTTTAGACCATGACGTTACAAACATCGACGTCAATCTTACGAAAATGGAAGCCTATACTCTGATCAATAAAACTATAGAACAAAAATGGGATAATTAGTAAAGATCGAACAATCTGAGAAAATTATAGAAAAACCAATCAGAAGATCAAAAGTATACGGTTCGAATAAATCAGATGATAAAAATCATTACAAAATTGGGCAAAACAAAATTGAAATCAAACATCAGTATCATGTTAAAACAAAAATCACCAAACTGTGAGTTCTGTGATAACGTAGAAACAATTGATCATGTCCTCTTTTTCTGTTTCCAGCACTGACAGCTAGGACAGAACTCTATAAGGGATATAATAAAAATAAAATCCCAATAATTTCCATTAACAGCATTTTAGCTTCACTGGATAAACAGGGCATCGTTCACAATACAACCATTAGATATTTGAAAACACGATTTATCATCATCACATTGTAACGGCGATGGTGTCAGGATCTGGAGACTCGGGTCAATACATAAGTCGCGGTTAGGGACACAGTAGGGCCCCTCTCCTGAACATTAGAACCCTGCACAACACTCTCCACAATAAGTAGGATTCCCAAGGATACAGAGAGACCCACAGGGGAGGATTACTACTGATCCTTCCTTTCATTGTAGCATACTGACACCTCAGGAGTTCTGCAGTGCCTTCCTTTATTACCCATCCGCCTTATACACATCCTTAAAAAGTTTACACGTACAATGAAGGCAGTTGCGTCCCCGAGGGATTCCGATAAGAATGCTCGCTGCTTAAACGGTACATGTACATACATTAGTGTACAATGAAACCCAATTTTATAGGATAAGGATAACAGACTTTTGACACTTGGGATCACACCTAGGGCTCTGTAAAGGACACAGTAGTGCTCCATTTCTGATTACCAAAACCTCTCCAAATACAAACCTCACAATCACAAAATATAATCATCGGAAAACGTCGAATAGCGAACAGCTACATGAAGAAAGGAACAGTTTGGATTTACAGAAAGTATAGACACTGAAAAAACAAACAGTATATAAGTAAAAATAACGCCGGCCCAGAGGCTAGGCTTAGGTTAGCAATAGGGATTATCTTATAAGAAATTTTGACGGACTTCCAAAACACTATTAACATATTTAAATATATCCAGTGTATGACCTCTTTCTGTTCCTCTCTGTCCTAAACCGGTCCTCTTGCTGCGATGTGCCTACTGTAAGACTAGGTTTACAATTAGGCCAGGTGGTTGCCTTTAGATTATAGTTTTAGAAAAGGTCAGATCCTGACCATTCAATCGTGTATATTTTCCACAATGTTCTTACTGTATTGCAGAGCTTCTGTCTCATTCATATGTGTATACTTGTACCTGTACATTAGTATTGCTGAATACAGCTTTTAAAGTACACATATTAGTCTCCTCATTTCCCCCAAATGAAGTGAGTCCCAAACAAATAATTGTTGACTATGCTATTTGTCACATAAAGGAATCATATAAATTAATTACGCTTTATGAATTGTGTCAATTTTTTAATATTTAACAGTCAATTTGTAAACATTGATTGGTTGTCTTTGATAACAAACCTTTCTGTCGACGGTCCGTTCTGCTTTGGTGCATGTCTTTAAAAATGTATGCATTACGATTAACGTAGAGACGTGTGAATTTCTTACTTAACGTTGTGTGAGTGTGATGTATATCCCGCAGATTACCATATAAGTAATTAGTTCTTTAATTTCTTGTATGCCTTTTGTACAATTTAACACAGTAACGTCTGTCTCTGTAACTACCAAAATGTCAACGTTTAAACAGAAATCTGTTTCTGCAACTATCATATTGATCCGTCAACAAAACCATACAATGCTATTCCAAAAATCATTTTATAAAATTATTATGTGAAGGCAATTTAAGCATGAATATGTATTTTGGAAACAATGATTGAATCGAATAGCTTTACCTGCTCCAAACATCAAGAATATGTAGATAGCACCTGCCCATGATGTTAATGCAAGCCCTTCCTGAAACCTCTCTAGTAAGGACACCTGTATAATGCCTGTACCGTACAGCATGCCTGCATTCAGGCTATGTATGAAGAAGGAGGCGACCATCACTACCCATGCCCATCCTTTGTCTGGCCGGGTCAGCATCTTCATTTGAACCCCATCGCTGAAATTAGATCCTATCGTGAACAAACACCTGTACAAATGTAGGTGTATTGGAAGAGGTCAGGTATGAAGATGTTTTTGTAAATAATTTAAGGCTTGTCATTTCATACACACCTATCACTCATGCTCTTCTCATGACCCATCAGAAACTGTTTATTATGTGACAGAAATAGTAGCATCAGTGTTTGATGGCATATATGGACGTATATGCATTGTATATCTCTACTAATCGCTACAGATGGCTGTATATACCATATTTGTAAACCTGCAAAGTCTTACAACCTGGTATATAATTTACGAAAATATACACATGTAAGACATCCTGTCTTCAAATGATTATATGTGTATGTACATAACATAATTAATCACACGACAATTAGTAAGTTGTCCTGCTGTGTCTTAACACTGATCTCATCGTTAAAATGTCACAACGTATTCATATACATACATTAAACATATTCAAATCTAACGTAACGGTTCATATCTCATTGATAGTAATGTCAGGTCACCTTTTAAACGATGTCCTACAACATGTTTTAACTGAAAATTTAAATCGACACAAAGTGATCTGATTGGAAAACACGGAAATAAAAAAAAAAAAACATTATAACAATTTTAGCTCATTTTGAAAATTGAAGTTTTCTTACCGTATCGGTCTATGCCAAATATATAGCTTGCTCAATATGTCAGTGTGCTATGATAAGATAAGAACTAGAGACATGGCCTGTGTATTTGTATGGATTGACGTGTCCTTTTCTGTATCTTCTTCTGGTGCAGTATATTCGTATCGACTCCGTGCCCCAGATTAATGTATGGACATGATTTAACTATGATGTACCTTTAGCCTTACTTCGTGGGTGTAAATACTGATAGATGCTAGTTAATGGTTCTTACAGCTGTGGACATTGTAAAGGACTAATTTCATTGTTTTATATTGGTTTTTTAAAACGTTTCCAATAAAATGAGATATCTTTTAAAGAACGAAACAAGAGAAAATGACACGGAAGCAGTTAGTTAGAAAATGCAATATAACTACTCAATACAAACTGCTAAATACTTAAATTTCAGAATATCATTATAATGCCGTTGAATATATATCAGATACTGTTATGTTAGTGCAAGTTTGGTTCAATAGATGATTTAGTTCTGAAGATGGTTTAGAGGCGCCGAAACATATAACCGTATTTTGATTGAAAGAAATATGAAAACTATGCATCACATTAATTTACTTTACGATAAATGTAAAAGAGCTTTATTGGTGTTGTTTGTGTAAACATGTAGCATTTGACTATCTGAAAAGTAAACCTTCGGCTAATCATTTATGTTTATCTTCAGCAACACTTTTATTGTTATCATTACCTACATGTCCATAATCATGCTCCAGTAATACTATCATTACATTAATTATTACGTTAATGCTCAGGATGCGGACTTTCCTCGTTTATCATGGATTTACAAACGTCACGGGAATCCAAAGAAATAATGGTTGATCAATCGAATATCATACAGGCATCTTCTTATCATGTTTTGCACTATTAAATCAGGGTTACAGTTTTTATGGTAATACTTTCTAGAGTAGTGGAATTAATCATATTTTGATTCTAAATAGTTTCGAACAGATTAACTTCAGTGTAATTTGTTTAATTTAGTCTCTTTGATTTGCCACGTTACCATTCGTTTGTATAGTGTCACAGGTCAGAATATACACATACGCTTGTACTTGACGTCCTTTTGAAATTATCGGATATATGAATATAAAAAAATATATTTTCAAAGAATGGGCGAGTACACATCCCAATCTACATCGATTAATGTAAATTTTCTTCGGTCACCTTCTTAGTTTCAAGACTTAGGCCCTTGGTATCACTGACATGTCTAAGAAGGACGAAATGTCTTTATGATGTAGTTTACTTTATTATTTAGTTTACTTTATATAATTTAAGTTATTATAATACTAAATATATACTTAAAAGTGCTTCTTACTTGTGTATCCTTTGTACAACCTTCGAAATTGCATGTAGTAGACACTGCTGAAAGGGAGGACGAAATCATATGGATGATTGAGTTTCTGGTTGACGTTGAGTATGGTGGTAATATCTTCCAACAGACTAAACTAAATTTGCCCATCTGTTGTCTGTTTTTTTGTTTTGTTTTTATACATGGCTGAATCTGTCGAAGAGCTCAATAAAACAGTTCACAAAGATCAGAGATATTGATGACGGCTTGCCTTTAAATGAGAAGAAATTTATTAGTTACGTCAATCGTATATATTCACCAGATTGGAAATCAAGGACACAACAGACTCTTCTTCATCAGCCGCTTATCGTGATCTTTTTCCTACAATGAAACCAACATGGACAGCTTTCCACCAAGTTGATTGATCATTCAAGCGCTATTGTCACGATTTCGTGGAAGAAGCCGTCAATTGACGGGCAAACTCGTAACACAAGATTTCACAAGATGTAGGTTGATGAAAATCATGGGGAAGTTTTGCGGTCACCATCGTGATCTCATTGAGAAATAGCTTATTTCTTTGTGCGATATTAAGCTGAAAATGTTTGATGCTCGTGAGTTTGCCTGTTGGTAATTTTGTTGTATATCCTGTTATCCTTTGAGAACGTGACATTACTGAGTTGGAATGACCAATGTTTCTTTGGCGGGTGTGAAACCCTATGCAAGGGTTATTTGCCCTTTGTTTAAGAGAAATACAGAGTTATCTGCCTTGATTATCATACTTGGTTATTTGCCCTTCTTTATAACACCTATTGGTCTTTGATGAAATATTTATATATGTTTAATATATGTACCGTTAGGTAATGTGTTTATGGATATAATTATATCAAATTAAGGAGAGGTATATTTACTTAGTAAAAGTAAGAGGTTTAGTTATTGGTCATGTTTGAGATATAGTTTATATGGTAAATATAATGTTAGTACATGTAATTTGTTGTGTATAGTTGTATATAGGATGTTATAGAGTATACATGATACCGATGCATGTTTAGATAATACTGTTAGTGCTATGTAGGGTACAGATATTAAGGTCACATTACTACACAGTATTGTTGTTGCTGATGCAGGTGCAGTAATTGCGCGATAGTTAATACCTAAAATGCTGACAAATGTTTACGTGACGGAATTTTTCGAAAGTCTTTTGTTTACACTGGAAGACTGGACCTTGGCATACGTCATCACTTATAGCCGAGTTATGGACTTTGTATTTTGATTAGACTGTTTTGGCTCCAGAATGTCTGGGTTTCATTTCAAAATTAGTAATAGTTTGAAAGCCTTGGTCAACCAGGGTTATCCATCAAATTCGGCAGTCACGTAAGCATTTGTTATAAAAATGAGGGGACAAAATCGCTCCTCACTTCGGCCATAGACTGCGTATTATACGGACCGTTGTCACCAAGCCTAGGACCAGGACAGGTACGGGAGTGAGATAGTTTTCGGAGCTTATGTAATACCAGAGATAAAATCAAACACTTTTCTCTCCACCTTCTGACTTTCTTCAATTGTTTCTGTGAGAGGGTTACAGGTGTCGTCGATGAAGCAGAAGACGCTTACTATTCCAAAACACATGCTCTTATTCTTATTGTACTTATTTCATGAGTCTCCGTGTAAATCTTTCTTTGTTGATATTTTGACTTAGTTTTATCGAATTTGAATGACTGATATCGCAATTGTGAGCGAATTCCCCAGTAATCGAATTCAGCATCTTGGGAGGAGGCCCTCAAACATCGCGTCTTCCAAGTAACTGCATGAGAAGAAGAAGCGTTCGCAGCGATTGATCACTCTTGTCTTGCAGCTTTGTGGTAAAACAGCGTGCAAGTGTATTTATTGTCCTTTGCAATTTACAAATGTATACAAACGTGAGACAGAAGAACATGTCTTTGTCGCCTTGTTAATCTATGAATCGAATTTATCCTCGAGTGAAATCAACAAACAGAAACAAGTTGGCAAATCGAAGGATATTTTTCTCGATGTTGACCTTGTGGCAGTAGTAGTATCTTTGTAATATCTAAGCTCAATGAGTTATACTCAAGTAGTATCTATTCAGCTATGATGTTTGACAGAATCCATGTGGAAATGACAGAAAAGTCGCCAGTAAACTGTGTATACTTGCTGTACAGGAGAGCGGAGCACTTCGAGGAGTCTTACTCTTGAAGGAAACCGGAGTACCATTTCGCTTCTGTTCCAGGAATAACACCCCAGACACCAATAGCATTCTGAGTGAGTGACAGAAAAAGGAGTGATCCTGTAAACATAGGGATCAGACAAGGAAAGCATAAAACAGTTTAATACTAAGAAAGCTACCGGCATAAGAAGGTGAAATAAGGCAGACGCAGTGACGACATCTAAAACAAGACTGAATGATATGGGGACGATTGGATCGGCAGACTGAGGAAGAATATTCTACATTAGGAGACAGGAAACATAATAGCTTGATGATACTGCGACCTATGGTAACAAGAAGCTTTGGACTCCCTTAACTACGTGATTCAAGGACTATTCAGGCGGATAATAAGGACATCCGCATAAGCATGGCACGGTTCAGAAAATACACGTTTGACAATATTGTAAAATTGCCTTATGCATGAAAATTACGGAATTTATCTAATTATGGGGCTTCTGCACCTCTCCGTCTAGATTTTGACTTTTCGTTTAATCACTTTGGACTTTTCTTAGTCGCCTCGTAGGCTTCAAATAGTTGGCCCTCACTGACGAGTCCTAGAAGGACGAAACAGGTGTATGATGTAGCATCACTGACGAGTCCTAGAAGGACGAAACAGGTGTATGATGTAGCATCACTGACGAGTCCTAGAAGGACGAAACAGGTGTATGATGTAGCATCACTGACGAGTCCTAGAAGGACGAATCAGCTGTATGATGCAGTTTAATTCGTTGTTTGGCTCTACTGTATCTCACTCGAAATCATGAAAAGGTGTTATTTACTTGTGTGTCATTTGTACAATCCTAAA